AGTTACATTGCATCTACATGCCAACTAATTCTCATCAGATTATATGTGGACTGTTAGGTTGGGGTTAATGTAAGTTGACATGTACTTGCAAAGTGTCTTATAGTCAGTGAAATGTCTGTTGAAGGAGCAGAATCAGCAGATATTAAGCAGACAGTCTACTAATACTCAAATTGACCATCAAAATAAAGTGATACCTACAAGTCCAGCGTGCGTGTGTGTTGCTTAAGTACTAGAAAATGGGTTGTTTAAACTGTAAAATGCAGGATGGTTTCTGCAAGGGTTAATGTGTGGCTTTGGGTTAGCTTATTGTATTTGTGTGTGTGTGTGTGTGTGTGTGTGTGTGTGTGTGTGTGTGTGTGTGTGTGTGTGTGTGTGTGTGTGAATGCTGATGTCATGTTCTGCCCACTCTTGCATCCGCTTCCTGCCTCAGTGACAAACAAGGCTGAGCTATCCCAGCATGCCATGCATTCTCCTTTCCCCCTTTTCTCTCTTTCCTTTTTTCTCTTTGCTCCTTTTCTCAATCCTCAAAGACTCTGAACCTCCCACTGGAGAGAGAGAAAGAGCGTGCAACACACAAAAAGAGAGAGACTGACATACACACACAGAGACATATACACACACAGAGACATATACACACACAGACATACACAGAGGGACATAAACACAGACAGACAGCAAAGTGCGCGCACACAGAAACACCAAAACACACATACACACATAATCACAGATATACATACACACACAAACACACACACACATGCAAACAAACACCAAAACACACACACAGGGACAGACACGCACACATACAAAGACACGGACACACACAAAAACAGATACACACACACACACACACACACACTCAAACAAACACCAAGACATACATAGACACACACAAACACACACACACACACACACACACACACACAAAACAAACACTAAAACACATACAGACACACACACACAAAAGCACACACAGAGATACAGAGACACACATAATCACAGATATACACACACATACAGAAATACAGAGAGACACACACACACACAAACAAACACCAGAACACAAATACAGAGACGGAAACACACATACATACAGAGACACGGACACAGACAAAAACACACACAGAGATACACACACACAATCACAGATATACACACACAACCAAACAAACACCAAGACATACATAGATACACACAAACACACACACACAGATGAGTTGCTTTGGTGTGTTGGTAACTTTTGTACTCGGTCATTTCTCAGAGCAGTGTAGTAGTGTGTGTGTGTGTGTGTGTGTGTCCAGCATCAGGCCTCAGTCTGCTCAAACTCTCAGCCAGCTCACACTCACACACTCACACACACACACACACACACACACACACACACACACACACACACACACACACACACACACACACACACACACACCATTCAGTTTTCCCTCTGCTTTTCTCCAAGTGCTCTAGATAGTGAACACTAAAGGGCCCTCAGCTTGGCAGTGAGTGTGTGTGAATAGTTGTCATCTTGTTAGTGAGTGTTAAAGCTGGAGGGAGCAGCTCTGCCCTCTGTTGACCAGAGCTGATGCTTTACATCTTTAGGATTTAACTCAGTACACACAGATGAGTTGCTTTGGTGTGTTGGTAACTTTTGTACTTAGTCATTTCTCAGAGCAGTGTAGTAGTGTGTGTGTGTGTGTGTTTGTGTGTGTGTGTGTTTCCATTTTATTTTTTTCTTTGGCTGTTGCAAAAGAGACATTTCCCCACTGTGGGACAAATGGGAATAAATCAACAAACGAATCAATCAACCAGTGAATGAATCAATCAATGGATGAATGAATCAATGAATGAATCAAACAATCAATCAATGAACAAACGAATCAATCAATCAGTAAATTAATAAATGAACGAATGAATCAATGAATGAATCAGTCAATCACTGAACAAATCGAATGAATCAAACAATGAATCAATCAATCAATGAACGGGTCAATGAATGAATGAATAAATCAATCAAATAATGAAACAATGAATTAAACAGACAATGAATAATTCAGATTAATGAATGAACGAACGAATGACTCAATCAATGAACGAATAATCAATCAATGAATTAATAAACAAATAAATTATTAAATCAATCAGTAAATTAATGAATGAATCGATCAACGGTTCAATAAATGAATGAATGAATGAATCAGTGAATGAATGAATTATGAAAAGAGCACAATCTCATTTTAATTTAAAGCGACAGTCAGCAAAATGACACAATTAGGAGCAAAGCCTAGAAGAGTCAGTTTCCAGTTATATGACATTACCTATAGTATTTTGAGCTGAATGAATCAATGAATTAACAAATCGAATGAATGGAGTCAATAAATGAATGAATCAATGAATTAACGAATGAATGAATGAAAAAGTCGAATAAAATCAATGAACAAAATAATGAATCAATCAATCAATGATTAAACGAATCAAATAGTGAATCAATTAATAAATCAATGAAAGAATCAATCAATCAATCAACGAACAAATTCATTAATCAATAAACAAATAAATGAATGAATTCTGAAAATTTCATTTAAACTTAAAGTGACAGTCACCAAAAATACACAATTAGGAGCAAAACCTAGAAGGGTCAGTTTCAGAGAGTTAGAACAATATTATCTGTGGTATTTTGAGCTGAATGAATGAATGAATCGAGTGAATAAATAAATGAATGAATGAATCTATGAATGAATCAAGTGAATGAATTAATTAATAAATGAATGAATAAATGAATGAACGAATGAATAATTAAACTAATGAATTAATGAATCAATCAATCAACGATTAAACAAATCAATTAATGAATCAGTGAAGGAATAAATGAACCAATCAATTGAATCAATTGATGAACAAATGAATGAGTCAATGAATGGATGAATGAATTCTGAAAAGAGCTCAATCTCATTTGAATTTAAAGCGACAGTCATCAAAACGCTACAATTAGGAGCAAAGCCTAAACGGGTCATTTTCAGAGAGTTATATGACATTATGTGTGTGTATTTTGAGCTGGAACTTCACGCACACTCTTTACGTCTTGTAAAAAGAGTTATAATAGATCCTCTTTAAAATAACGATCAGCCTCTCAGTATCAGTGTTTCTCATTGTAAGTTCTGAGGGGAAAGTGAGCTGCTCTATATTTCTGTTCCTCACCTTATAAAGCAGCTCTGCTCTCTCTCCCAGAACTCCAGAATGGCTGCTTCTCTGTGGTTTTTCAGCAATGTTTTCAGCATGATCAAATATTGATGCAGTCATTCCCCAGTCCTACAGATGTGCTGCCCGAAACCACAACATCTCTCGCTAACAAACACACAACTGTGAACCAGTTAGTGGAACTTTTCAGCCATCGGTGAAGCTTTTTAATCCTCTAAACCATTATAATAGTAATTGCATAGCTTACATGTACAGTTGAGGTCAGAATTATTAGCCTCCTGTTATATTTTGTCCCCAATTTCTGTTAAAGAGAGAGATATTTACATAACATAATAATAATAAATGATAATAGTTACTTCAGCTGTATACATCGTGAGGTTATGTGAGCACATCTAATGATTGTTGTGAGCTAAGTCTTGTGTACTCTGGGATTTAATACGGTGTAGGGTGTGAGACGTGCAATTTTCCCAGCATTCCCTGGTGCACGGCCAGATTGCTTCATGCTTGTCATACACAAAAACAGACATATATCTTGTAATCTGTCATACAGCACACACACACACACACACACACACACACACACACACACACACACATACACACACACACACACACACTCACACTCTTCTCTGTTTAGCTATGAGCTGTTGTGGTTTTGCACATAAACGCTCATAGAAACTCACAGCACAGATAATTAAATTAAAACATAATTCTCAATTAGAGAGTTTCAGACTGAGTTATTCAAGAAGAGTAAAGTGTTGGTTGTAAAAACGAAGAGCAAAATATGCTAATTACAAGCAGATAAAAAACAGATAAAACACAAAAGAATAAAGATGCTTATGAAGAAACTGGGCTGGGTATGGGTATGTAATGACATTAGTTGTTTGAGAAGTATTTATTTTAATTATTTAAATGTATTTATTAAATTAATTGTTTTTAAAGTTTATTTATTTAATTTTTATTTATTTATTTTAATTAGTTTATTCATTATTTTATTTACTTTTTTCATAAGTTTATTTATTTTAATGAATTTATTAAATTATTTTTTTCATAAGTTTATTTATTTATTTTAGTTACATAATTTTTTTTCATAAGTTTATTTTAATATTTTCATTCATTCATTCATTCATTTTAGTTACATTTATTGTTCATAAATTTATTTATTTTAATTAATTTATTTATTTTATTTACATTTATTTATTCATAAGTTTATTTATTTATATTTATTTATTTTAGTGTATTTTTTTTAGCTACATTTCTTTTTCATAAATGTATTATTTTATTATGTAATTTATTTTATTTATATTTATTTTTTCATAAGTTTATTTATTTATATTAATGTATTTATTCATTTTAGTTACATTTATTTATTTTATTTCAATTTATTTTATTTACATTTAGTTTTTCATGAGTTTATTTATTTTAAAACATTTATTTATTTTAATGTATTTAAATTACATTTATTTTTTCATAAGTTTATTTATTATAATTTATTTTATTTACATTTATTTTTACAAAATGTTTCTTTATTTAATTTTATTTATTTATTTATTTGAACATTTATTTATTATTTGAATGAATATTGGTGTCAATATCATGTTTATACATTGACAAAAGCTTAGTTAATTAATTACAGGAAGAAAATGTCGATACCCTCATAAACCTATGGACAAAGCCTATGCAAAAGTAAACAGCTGTGATTCCACTCAGTGACTCGCATGAGCAACAGCGATGCTAACTCTTGCAAACAGCACTTTATATGTTTAATGTTGATGTCCTGACTCTCTCTCTCTCTCTCTCTCTTTCAGTCTAATAAGGTCCCGGTGGTCCAGCACGCACACATGCACCCGCTGACGCCCCTCATCACATACAGCAATGAGTTTCCTCCAGGAACTCCTCCAGCACACCTCTCGCCTGAGATACTCGATCCAAAGACAGGTATCACACACACACACACACACACACACACACACACACACACACACACACACACACACACTTCTGTATTTTTTTTTTTAATGTAGAGAAGATTTTTTCAAACCATTTCTAATCATAATAGTTTTAATAACTCATCACTAATACCTGATTTATTTGATCTTTGCCATGATGATATTAGACTAGATATTCTTCAAGACACTAGTATTCAGCTTAAAGTGACATTTAAAGGCTTCACTAGGGTAATTAGGGTAAAGTTAGGGTAATTAGGTAAGTCATTGGATATCAGTGGTTTGTTCTGGAGACAATGCCAAGTTAATATAGGTTAAGGGGGATAATAATATTGACCTTAAAAAGCCGAAATAAAACAAATCAGATTTGCTCCAGAAGAAAAAATATTAGAGGAAATCTTATGAAAAATTCCTGAATCTCTTAAACATCATTTGGGAAATATTTTACAAAGAAAATTGACAAGAGGGCAAATAACTATTAATAATAATAAGAAGAAGAAGAAGAAGACTTCAGCTATATTGTAAGTATAATTATATAATTTCACTACATGATTTAAATAGCTTGGACATTTGGAAAGACTTTACTCGTTAATTACATCCACTGGGGGTGATTGAGTGTTTTTCTATGCAGTGCATCTGCAACAATATATAATAAATTACAAACATATATAAAAACGACAGAGCAGAAATAAAAGGTAAATAAACACTGCATACAATGGTTTTCTGGGGAATCTAACATTATTAACATATTTCAATTGAACAATCAAACGTAAAATAACGTAATTATACAATAATATTTAATAATATCTTCATCCTTTAATCTTTAATAAATAATCCAATCCTGTGATGTGACACTCATTTGTGATATATCGATGCTGAAACGACATACTTGACTTGAGTGTTTTTGTCTTACTCCTTTTTCAAAGTCAGATTTAAATACTTTTAAACCACTTCATTTTAAGAGTTGTGTTAAAACTAAAAGATCCTCCTTGACTCGAAATGTAAAGTATTCAGTGCTTTATTCCTGTAGTATGCACTACACTGCAATTAATGCTGTTCTTTCTTAGGATTGTTTGGCTTGTTTCTAGTCCAAATATCTAAACACTCGGAAATCAAGAAGCATTTTCACAGACGAGCAAAAAGTATTGTTTTGTTTTCAGAAATCATGTGTCAAAATAAACTGAGTTTTTCCTTAAAACAGGGATGTCCAAACTCTGTCCTGGAGGGTCGGTGTCCTGCTGACTTTAGCTCCAACTTGCTTCAACACACCTGCTAGGAAGTTTCTAGTATATCTAGATCAGGGGTGTCAAACTCAATTGCTGGAGGGCCGAAGCCCTGCACAGTTTAGTTCCAACCCTTCTCCAACACACTTACCTGTAGGTTTCAAACAAGCCTGAAGGACTCAATTAGTTTGATCACATAGATATATACACTAGATGTCGCCTGGCCTATTGTTGTCTATTGAACGGAATGCGTCAATAGCGCCGCCATCTTGCTACAGGGTAGCGCTCCTTTGAAATTAATGCGGGACCAATGTACAGTGGAGGACTGTGGCCATCCGAAGCCAGAGATATACACATATACACATATATCTGTGATCGGGAGTTTTCCTGGATGTTAGTGTGTAATTTTTTTTTCTAATTACGAAAATTATAATTTGACATCACTTTTCTACATTGATGGATCAGTAACCGCACGGGCATTCCTGACAAAAAGCTTGTGTTTGTGTGTATGTAAATGTACTATACTCACCCTCCCTGTTAAATTTGATCTAATCACACACAGCTCCTCTCCTGCTTTCACTTCTCATACTGACGGAGGGAGCGATTAGTTTGTGAATGAATCCCCTGAACGACTCTTTCACTAACGTTAGCCGACAATAACACAAGTTTCTGGCAGCGCAGCATCTCGTTGTCATATTTCTTTTGCATTGTTTGCTGATTTTATTCAACAAAACTAGCATAAGCCGAGTGTTTAGTGCGAGTTGGAGCTGCTTTGCCATATGGTAAATGCAGTAAGTGACTGTATCATCATCAATAACGTTACCTGATTAGCACAAAAGTTCAGAACATACAAAAACAGAAAAAACGTAATATTACCTATGAAATGTTCTGCCTTTGTGCTTTGTTTTCTTTGTTTGCTCGTTTCTACACCCGTAGACAGCGCTAAAGTCCCGCATCTTCACGTAATAACACTGTCTTGGCTAGTGCGGTTGAATGACATTTGTCCTGGGAGCCCTGTACCAATGTGGCGGCGCTATTGACGCATGCTCAGGGTCCCTATGCCATATCTAGTGTATATATCTATGGTTTGATCAGGTGTGATTAATTAGGGCTGGAACTAAACTGTGCAGAGCTGCGGCCCTTTTGGAACTGAGTTTGACACCTGTGATGTAGTAAGAGCTTGATTAGCTGCTTCAGGTGTGTTTGATTAGGGTTGGAGCTGAACTTTCCAGGACACCTCTGTCCTAAAACAAGCGAAATAATCTGACAATGGGGTGAGCGAAATAATCTAGTTGATTTCTCTTGCCATATGATTATTGCTTGTTTTAAGGAAAAACTCTCTTAAAACTTTCTTAAAACAAGATGATTAAATCAGGGGAGAGTGGGCGTGGCTTGATTTGTTATCTACTGCGAGCTGATTGGATGTAGTAAAGTAGGCGTTTCATTTAGAAAGATGGGGAAAAGGGTTTGGGGAGAGTTATTATAACCCAACTGACTCCTCCTCCTCACCATTATTGTCTGTTACTGTCAAAACTGACAGCTGTAGGGGTGTGGTTAAGTGTGTTAGCCACGCCCAATACCTCAGGCAGCCCTAATCTGAGGATTTAACTGATAACAAACAGGAAGTGCATTTTCAGATTTTAATCAACAATCATAAGGGCAAACTTTGTTTTTTTTTGTCTTAATGATATGCACAGATGAATTGTTGACTACAAAACTAGCAATGTGAGCTAACAACATCAGTATGTCTAGTTTTAATTTAATGGAGATGTTAATCTGGCCTGATTGGTGTTCCTGCTACAGGTATTCCTCGCACGCCCCACCCGGCAGAGCTCTCACCGTATTACCCTCTGTCTCCTGGAGCCGTGGGGCAGATCCCGCACCCGCTGGGCTGGCTCGTTCCTCAGTGAGTATCTGTAAAGAAACCATCACAAATACTTCAATGACTTTTTCTCAGGAATTGTACTTCATAAACCCTCCTGTTGTCCCGTTCACCCTTCGGGTCAAAAATGAGCCGCCTTTACTGAATCTGTCAAAGAAAGCAGATCAATTTCATTTTATTCCTCAAATCTATTCATCACGAAGAAACAAGCTCATCTTCATCACGAACTCTGTGAATGTCTGGGTGTTTCCTCATCACTGTGGAGTTTTTCATTACTGGGGAACACTCTCTTCTGACTTAAGCCTGGTTTATACTTCTGCGTCAAGTGACTGGTGTAACCAACGGCGCAGGCAACGCGTGTAGCTGTGCATTAAATACTTCTGTGCGCTGTCTTGTTGATCTGCATTAACACTTCCACATCGCTAGTTGGCAGTGAGGTGTTGATGCTCCTCAGTGTCGAGTTTCTTTGCTGCTGTTTTGTTCTTTCTGAACGCTTCCTCAATGTACAAGTGGCTCAAACTCGCTCATTTTGAGGCAGGAACTGGCGGACGTGCAACAACTTTAACTATGAGGTAAACACAAAACCAAACTTTCCATCTGGAGCTCCTTCACGGGACTCCGCACTTGTAAACAATCGCTCCATCGGGCTCGCGCGACTCTCTGTCAGCACTACCAAGGCGACCAATCACAGAGCTTGCGCTACGCATCGTTGCGACGTGCAGTTACATTTTTTGAGAGGTGCACGTCAGAGACGGCCAAGGCGTAGGGCTATGTGTCAACGCCGTAGCATACGCATGCGTTTGACGCAGAAGTATAAATCAGCCTTAAAGTAAAGAGTGTATTTTCTAATACTTAAAGTAGCTGCATGAGTGTAAAACGTTTTTAGCAAGACAGTATTTCATCTCAGTGTCGTCCGCTTTTCCGGGGCCGGGTCGCGGGGGCAGCAGTCTTAGGGGCCGATCATCATACCTGCCAACACTATCGTTTTTTCCAACTAGTCTCCCGTATTTCACACCCATCTCCCGTTATGTTCTGTCTCCCGGAAAACTCCTGTAATTTCACCCTCCCCCCCGATCCTCAGCTTTTCGGTACACACCTCCCGGATCGCCGACCTTGGCGTAATATCCGATTGCAGTGGCTGGCTGAAAACTAGTTATCCGGGACAGTATTATGAAAGTTAAAGCAGCAGATTTCCTATTGTGTTTGGGGTGTGTGTGTGTTGAATGTGCCAGCAGTTTTGTGGTGTAAAATTGGTTTTATAGCTGGTTTATAGCTTATTGGTTTAGAGCTGTTGGGTCAAAATTGACCCGAAGGACAACCGTTGTAGCCTAAATTTGCAGAGCCTACAGGAAAATAGAAAATGATTCATTTTTTCTAAGGTTGTGGTCATTTTTTTTTTTTTAAAAAGTCGCCAATCTTCAGCATGAACAAACATTATTCAGGTTTTTTTTTTTTTCATTTCTGAGCAGTCAACAGGAGGGTCAAGTAGTTTTAAGAATGTGTGCTTTTGCTGGAGTTGACTTTAGTGCTGTATCTGTACTTTTACTTCAGTGTTTTCCATCAACCTGCAGTCACTCCTGACCAAATGTCTGTGATGAAACAAATAATGTGTGTGGAAATGTGGAGCACTTTTAGACGTCTCCGGATTGTTGTTGACGTAGCCTTGATTTAGATCCACACTTCTAATTGGTCATTTCTCTGTGTGTGTTATAGGCAAGGGCAGCACATGTATCCCATCACCGCCGGGGGTTTCCGTCACCCGTATCCAGCTCTAGCCATGAACGCATCCATGTCCAGGTGAGTGTGTTTTTAGATCATCGTTGTAAGGCTGATTTATACTTCTGTGTTGAGTGATCGGTGTGACCCACGGCGTCTGCCTTGCGTGTAGTCGTGCATTTATACTTGTGCGTGCTGTTTGTGTTGATCTGCAATAACACTTCTGAAACACTAGCTGGCAGTAGGTGTTTATGTTCCTCTGTGTCGAGTTTCTTAACGAGTGATATGCTTTACAAGAAGCTCAAACTCGCTCATTCAGAGGCGGGAACCGGCGGACGTGCAGCAATTTTATTCATGAGGTAAACACAAACAACAGTTTCCATCTGGAGCTCCTTCATGGGACTCCACACTTGTAAACACTCGCTCCATCTGGCTCATGGCGCTCAGCACCACCCACACTCGTCACAGCTACCAAACTGACCAATCACAGAGCTTGCAATACATGTCTTTGCAATGTGTAGTTACATTTTTTTGAGAGGAGTGCACAGCGTCAGCCATGGCGAGGGCTATGCGACTACACGAAGACTGCTCCTGATCGTACGCATGTGCTTGGCGCAGAAGTATAAATCAGCCTTTAAGGTTGGTAATTGAGGTTTTAGGCCTTTTACTTCTCTCTAGTAAAAACTCTTGGAGTTGCAATGAGAGAGTTGTATGTTTGGGGCTGGATGCTTGGCCATTTCGTCTTATCCAATATCCATTGGGAGGGTGCTGCAGATGGACCTGTCAGATGAACGCCGCTCACTTTAATGTCAATTTTGCAGAATAACTGTGCTTATCACTGGGTGACGAGCTGTTATAATACACTGAAAGCATTATGTAAATAATAAATATAATATGTAATCAATATAACTTATCTCTAATACAACAACAAACTCTGTACCGCATCGGATGTCATTCCCTCGCTGTAAATGCTAGCGCGCTCGGTTATTTTCTGCAACCTCCCTGTGCACGCATCCTGAATGTTTGCAAACCGGTAACTGGTCTATACAGTTATACTGTTATTCAGATATTTTGCATATTAACTGCATTTTTCAACAAAAAAAGGTAGTATTTGTCCAACAACTGCGCATGCTTAAAAACAACAAAGTTGAAATTGATGCTAGCTGATTTTACGGTGTTCACAGGAATGAACGTGTCTCTTCTGAATACCGGGCTCTGTATTTAATGCAAACTCATGGAAAGTTAATAGTGGATTTCTCCCTCTAGTTGTACATTTACAGTGCTGTAGCATGATCCATGAGATGTCCACAGTCCAACATGCTCCAGAAGAAATGGACCTGAATGGACAATGAACGGCTCTTAATTTAGTGCCAGAACTGGATTAAATAAGAAAGATCTGTAGTGATCCTCACTCGTCGTGTGTGTGAGCGATTGTTGAATAATTCATACAGAGATCATCGTGATCAATAGCTCGTCCTCTTCTAGACCTTTATACACACGTTGTGGATACAAGCAAGAGTGTCTGCTTCTCCACAGAAAGACTCGACTTTCACAAGTGTTTGATTCAATCCCTCCTTCCTTTTGACAGCTCTGGGGTGTCATTTATAAACGTGGCGTACGCACAAAACAAGGGTGTAAATCTGCGCGTGCCATAAAAGTTGATTATAAACTGTACGAAAACTCCAAGTAAACATGTCATTTGTTTATATTATCTTAGTATGTGTTACCATAGCAACTGTAGAATCACCACAACAGATTAATTACTATAGTTGTTGTTACCGTAGCAACTGTAGAATCTCCACAACAGATTAATTCAAGTACTTTACTATAGTATGGTTTAAGAACACTAGTATTTAGTGTAAATTACTTGTGTTTTCTCATGTTCAAACCTTTCTGAACTCCCATTGGTCTTTGGTGATGAGTGGGTGTGGTTTTGAGGCTCCGCCCTCATTTATGCAAAAATGTCTGTGGAGGTCAGATGTGAGTCCAGAAAGCATGTGATCATAGCCATATGCAGGATCTACAAGTCTCCAGCAACATATGAACAGATGAGCTCATTAAAATCATTTGAAAATGGATTAAAATCAACACATATTTACATCTAAACATAAGCAGAATATCAGCGTTTACACATAACCGACTTCTTTTTAACTCTAAGCAAAGAGCGAATGAGAAGCTTGATTGATAAATGGCAAAATCCAGAACCGTGGAGGGTGAAGCTGTGATTTTCTGGCTGATTTTCCTCTTTCTTTTTCAGTTTGGTGTCCAGTCGCTTTTCTCCTCACCTCGTCCCTCATCATCCTCATGGTCTTCATCAGACGGGCATCCCTCATCCGGCCATAGTCTCTCCAGTCATCAAACAAGAACCCAACGGAGAGCTCAGTCCGCCAGTTAACACGTAAGCCAATCAGGGATGCACACAAATGAAAATCCGTTCAATATGTGCACGCCACTACAAAGCCTGTCAAATCACACCAAAGTACAAGATTAGACTAGCTTTAAAGTCAAAACCATACACACACATTCATTTGGTGTCTACACTGAGAGGATAACAATGAATGCGTGATGTGTGGGACTTAAAGGGCCAGCCGACTAATAGACTCAACATGCTGCAGCTTATCAGGGGTTAGGGCTTATTATTTTTGGGGTTATTCACCCCCAAAATGTGTATTCTGTCAATATTTGCTCACTCCCTACTCTTTATTCATTTATTATTATCCATTTAATGTTAATGAAACTACAAAACATCTGGAATAATCATAATAAAATAGTGATTTTCGTGGGAAAAGTCGTGATATGATATTTTTGCCATATCACCCAATCCTATTTTCAGTGGTCTAAAACTGTTGCATCTCCTCTAATGATGTTTGATTTAGCGAAAGGCTATTTTAGCGCTAATTTTGGAGCGTGAAGAGGTCAATGGCAAAACAACTTATAATCCATTGTATTTAACCATATACATAGTCAGTCATGGTTCATTTCAAATTGTTTTGGGTTGTTTTACCTCAGCAGTGACACGATTAGAGATGTTGCTTGGTTAAAAGCTGCTGTATGTCTGTTTTTGTCTCCTCTAAAGTGTAAAAATATCATGTTTGCAGATATTTCAGAAACATGCTGAGTGAACGTTCTTGTTTATCTAAAAAACAATGCTGAAGTCAGATATTCTGCTTTGTGTGTTATGTGCCTTGTTGGAAAACATCACATTTCAATTATTCAGTCATGAAGGCTCTGAAAGCATGCGCTCATGACCATAATGTGACCTCCAGGTGGACATGAGCAGACTCCGAAATGAGACGCAGATTCAGAGTTCCACGTGAGGTTATTAATTAGCAAATAATATAAATATTACGAGCGTAAACATTAGGTATGCAGGTCACATTGTAACCCCGTGTCCTAACAACACACTACGAGGCGAGATTTGCAGTGCATTTTGACCAGACGAACATGACAGAAATGTAAACACAGGCATTCAGAAGCACAGAATAGTGCACTCACTGCACTTCAGCGCAATGGTAATGTTTATAATCTAATTAATACATATTAAACCTCTTTAACAATATTAAATGTAGATGCTAAATCACTGATATGTGTTGCTTTGCACTGAGTCTCGGTTGACGCTCAATTTAAAGCGGTTTATTTTATTTTCAGGATCTGAGCAGAACTATCTGCTGCTGCTTTCAGTAGTCTGGCAATAAATGTGCTGTAAAAAGGCGATCAGACTCACATTATTAGCATTTAACACTAAATAAAGCACATGAGCTGTACCTGAGCTGATCATTGTTTTCTGTAGTTCAGCTGTGAGTAATAGAAGCTGTTTCTAATATATTGAGGTGTTAGTTAGAACAAATATTATATTCCATCTAGAAAATTCCTTCTATCAGGGTTTCTGCAGGTTTTATCAAGTAAAATTTAAGACTTTTAAGACCATTTTAAGACCATAATGAATCGAATTTAGGACTTACACTTGTGCAAAAGTTAAAACCTTAAAAATAACATTAAAAACAAATGTTAATGAAATTAAGATAATTAACCCATGTTTATAAGTAAATAGAGTTAATAAATAAAAGTTGCTTAATTTTTATTAAAATATTGTTGGTGATTGGATGGGTGTTGGCCTAATTAGGTATAGCTTTACATGTACATAGAAAAACTAAGACTCATTTAAAATGATTTAAGACCTACAAGATAATATTTTAATAGGACATTTTAAGACTTTTTAAGACCCAGCAGATACTCTGTCTATTGTGTGCCGTTGCTTTAATTTAAAACATGACTATAATCAGCTTTTTTTTGGGCCCTCAATCTGGCAACCTGCGCTTGCCTGTGTTTTGAGGAGTGCAATACCTAGTTCAACCACTGGGTGTCAAACTTACATACTGCACCTTTAACTTTAGCATTTAAATGACATTTAAAGTAATGTGACGTCACTCTGACGGGCAGGTTTTATTTTTATTTTTAATGTCTTCAGTAGTACCTTGTCATTGATGAGGACTGTTATTGTGCATGGCAGCACTTGAAGCACAGTTATCAATGTGTATTATCGATGACCAAAAACACGACTAATGCCTGTTTTATCTACACACTCCTTCACATCTTTTCTCTGTGTGTTTGCAGGAAGTCTCCAGGCCCCAATAAGAAAGACGAGGACAAGAAACCTCACATAAAGAAGCCTCTGAACGCGTTCATGCTCTACATGAAGGAGATGAGGGCTAAAGTAGTGGCCGAGTGCACGCT